CGGCGCCGTCAGGCGGGAGGGAGAGCGGTGAAACGGGGTGCGGCCCGGCGTAGCCGTGGCCTTGTTGGATCTCCCATGAGAGTGTTGAGGAGCTTTCGCACCTGAGGGCCTTTAACGAAATTCAGGGCCTTTAACGGAATTCAGGGCCTTTAACGAAATTCAGGGCCTTTTTGCAGAGATCTGTGGAGTTCCTGTGCTAGAGGTGTGTTCTGGTAAAAGCGTAGCTTCTGGTGTTTTGGTGGCTGCGGGGGTTTTCAAAAGAGGGAGGACAGCCTGCTGTCTGTCCTGGCTCCTGCACTCCGTCTGTCCCGGCTCCTGGTGCGTCCCTTCTGTGCAGCTCCGTGTCGAGCTCCCGCCCGGGAGACATATTCTGCATCAACATGACCAGACCATAGAATCATTTAGGTTGGAAAAGACCTTGAAGATCATCCAGGCCAACCATTAAGCTAATACTACAAAGTCCACCACCAAACCAATTAAGGGTAGAGTGATAATTCCGTGCTTCCTGGCTTGGTGGCTGCATTATTTTTTAATGAAAGTAAAAACTAGGAATCATTAAGATTGGAAAGGATCTCCAAGATCATCAGTCCACCATCAACCCAACACCACCACGCACACTAAACCATGTCCCAGAGTGCCGTATCTACCCGTTTTTTGAACACCTCCAGGGATGATGATTCCACCACCTCTCTGGACAGCCTGTTCCAATGCTGGACCACTCTTTCTGTGAAGAAAGTTTTCCTAATATCCCATCTAAACCTCCCCTGATGCAACTTGAGGCCATTTCCTCTCGTGGCTCTCACCATGTCTTGGTGAACATCTCTTTTGAGGCAGCACCAGCTTTTTAGTATTCATTTTGGGTCCCTGCGTTCTGTTGCATGGTGGAGTGGGTCATAGAACTGCTCTAATGAAAAAAAGATGTGGCTGAAAGGATGTCTTTAACGGGAGATCGGTTGTCTAAACCAACTCACTGTGCAGCTCTGAACAGGCAGAGCCTTGTAACAGGGAGGATGGTGCAGCAGTGGGAGTAAGGAGAAGGGATTAATTTTTCCACTACTAGAAGAGGTAGGTATTGATCTGCACTCTAAAGCAGCATGTGGAGAGAGAATTCCTGAGAGGGGCTCCCCAGAATGAAGGCACAGTGGATCTTAGAAATAAAGTAGAAAATGGGGGGTGGGGAAGAAGCCTCACCAGCCACAATGAAACTACAGCTTGACAGCAGTCAGTTTTGGTTACAAAGGGACCACAGGGCCTGTCCCTCTGTAGGTATGGTCCCCGTTGCCTCTGATGCCAGTCAGGTGTCTAGATAAGACCAGGGCTGTTTGACCTCTGCAGGGACAGGGCAGGCTGGGAGGGAGGAAATGCCACACGGGAAAAGCTTTTGAGGAGGGAGGGTGCTGGTGGTAGGACCGAACTGCTGGGGAGCGAGTTCTTCCAGTGAGGGTCTAACCATGTTCCTTGCTTTCAGTTCTCCTTCCAGGAAAATGGCTGGGGGGCATCCCTTGCTGAGAGACTGGTCAGGTAAGAGCTCAGATTTCAAAAGTAATTTCTAGCATGCAAGAAGTCGTGCAGCTTTTCTAAAAGAAAACCAACACAAGTTAATATTTAATGTATATTTATTTATTAACATTTATTTATTTATTGAAGTGGAACTGCCTTACTAGTAACCTGCCTGATACTGGTGGAAATAATCATTGGGAGTTTCTTTCCACTCAAAGCTTGAGTGGAAAGAAAAAAATCCTTAGTGATTGTCAAGATTGTTGTTCTAGTTTCATAGTTTAAGTGACAGGGGAGGTTTAGATGGGATATTAGGAAAACTTTCTTCACAGAAAGAGTGGTCCAGCATTGGAACAGGCTGCCCAGAGAGGTGGTGGAATCATCATCCCTGGAGGTGTTCAAAAAACGGGTAGATACGGCACTCTGGGACATGGTTTAGTGTGCATGGTGGTGCTGGGTTGATGGTTGGACTGATGATCTTAGAGGTCCTTTCCAACCTTAATGATTCCTAGTTTTTACTTTCATTAAAAAATAATGCAGCCACCAAGCCAGGAAACATGGAACTAATTATCACTCTACCCTTAATTGGTTTAGTGGTGGACTTTGTAGTGTTAGCTTAATGGTTGGCCTGGATGATCTTCAAAGTCTTTTCCAACCTAAACGATTCTATGATTCTATGAATACTACACGTGCAGTCTGTGGGTGCACTTTCAAAACATAAGGTGCTAATCGCACTGAAAACTCGTGTGACATCTCATTGTTCCTGAAAGGGATGGAGACAGGTGCCCTGGCAGAATGCTTCAGAACTTCCCAAGTTCTGTTCTGGAGGGCAGAGGAGAGATGTTCATTTTGATACGTGTCTTTGTTTCAGAAAATGTGATGTTGTGAACCGTGGGCTCTCAGGGTACAACACCAGGTGGGCTAAATTGATCCTTCCAAGACTGATCAGTAAAAGTACTGGTGCCGAGAGTACTGTTGCCGTTACTATTTTCTTTGGAGCCAATGACAGTTCTTTGAAAGGTACAGTAGCTTTCTTTTTTTTTTCCATGACCTGTTCTCTTAAGACAGTTTTACAGTTTATCAGAAAAGGCAGAACATTACACAGATTTTTCCTGCCACTTCTCTGCGAAGCAGTTGCCCTTTTTTCATTTTTACAGTGGATTGTTTTCAATCATTTGATTTGTATTTAAAGCATGCAGTGCCTTCTATTTCTCTCCCTCTCACCAAGTTTTAATACTAAAAGTAAATTTCAAGGTGCTCATGAATTACAGTCGTGTGTCCAGCACCTCAAATTGGAGTTGGGCATCTAGCTGATTTTTCGGCCTTTAAAGCAGTCTGATGGGTTCTTGGCAGATGGGTTGAGGAAATGAGGGAAGGTAGCATTTGGATTCTCTTTAAGATAAGCATAGCAGCACGCAGAGCTAGTCTAACCAAAATGATAGGCTCGGTGCACGAAGGACTGTCTGTACGTCCGTGAGAATCTTAACATTTTTCTCTGCATCCAAGAGAGTGAAAAATCTTAGCTTTTGTTTCAGGTGAAGTTTGAGGTGGTTATGTGCTCTAATATTAAGATATGAAGTTGCAAGACAAAGCATCTTTGGATAAAAAAAAAAAAGGGTGATTTCTTTTCCCTTGTTCCTCATTTGTATTAGTTGGAAGCGCTGGTGTTTAAACTCTGGATTTGTGTGCTTTGGATATTGAGGAATAGCATTTTCTCATGACACCTCCTGAATCAGTGGTTGAGGTGAACTGCTTACTGAAAATGAGTGCCCACATTCGTACACTGTGTAAAAAGCACGTTATGTTGTGTAATAAATCTGTAAGCAGTTTAACATCGCTAATGCATGTGCTCCATCCCCTAACAGATCTGAACCCGAAGCAACACGTTCCTTTGGAGGAATATGCTGCGAACTTGAAGAGCATGATAGAGTATCTGAAGTCAGTGGACATCACTGAAGACAGGATTATTTTGATAACACCACCACCTCTTCAGGAATCGGCCTGGGAAAAGGAGTGTCTTGCCAAAGGTAAAAGAATGATACGGATGGGCAGAATTTCTGCGTTTAACTGGCAGAGTGTGAAGTTGCTGATCCCAGGCTGACACATGATTAGCTTCGTGCTTGTACCAGATTGCAGTTGTGTTCTTTGAGTTGATGGAAAAGGACTGCTAGCTGTTTTGCTGACCAGCTTTTGGATAAACTAAACTAAGTTAGAGTAACTACCAACTAATTAGTAACACCCTTTTGAAAGTGTTGATTGATCTCTTTTGTGTGTAACACTGACAGAAGGGGCTGCCCTTTGAGAACATAGGTTTTGCTGAGATGTCCGAGGCAGCTTCCAAAATAACATGAATGGTGGAAGAAATTTTGGCATTGTGTGCCTTAGAAAATTTTGTAATAGTCACAGGGTATTTCACATCTATTTGGATAAGCAGTAATAGCCTAGCTATTTTAATATTTTAAGCTAGCTAGTAGCCTAGTTTATTTTAAATTTAGAAAATCCCCAGAGAATATCATGTTCTAAGGATGCTAATAAAAGTACCCTGAAAAAGAAGCAAAAGGTGATTAAATGACTTCTCATTACGTTGTTCAAGCTAACTCTAAAAATAGAGACAGAACAGCACTGCTTACTTGGTGTTACTCAGCTGGTGGAAATTGCCATAATCCCACTGACTCCAGCAGCGATGGTTTATACCTCCTGAGAGCGTGTCCTCTTTTCCATTTGGACAGCTCATCTAGTTCTTGCACGTTTATAAAAGGCTTGTGAGTTAGATTCAGGTAAACACAGAGCTGTCATCTTAGTATTTGCAAGGTTTTCTCAAATTTAGGTGGTATTGTGTATCCTGAGTTGTGTACGCAATCAAAGCGGTAACATTTTGAAGGTGACCTGATGTTTAAACTGCGTTAAATTAGACTATGTTGTTGCATGACTTTCCATTAGGGATCTACAGCATGCAGCAGTGATCACTGTGCAAAACAGATTTTAGACTATATGGGCTTTCAGTCTCATCCAGCAGGGTAGTTTTTATATTTCAGTTGGAAAAGGAGGGAAAGTTCTAGAGTAATAGTCACACATTGTGTGAGATGGTAGCAGGTCAGATCAAACATCAGACATGGCCAGTGCTGTATATGTGACAGTAGCAGATCCTCGGGAAGGGCATACGGAGCAGGTCAGGCGCAGAGCAGCCTTGCCTGGTGTGTGTGCCCAGCTCTCACTAAGGCTGCTACAGCCGCGGTTTGCAAAGCAGGCACCCGTGTTGGCCTTTTGAAGATCTGTTAGGTGAGCACACCATGCGTGCTGCTTATCTGGCTCCTAGCTATCAAGTAACACTTTAAATGTTGTTAGTTCGTTTTTGTCTTAAAGCTCTCCTTTTTATGGGGTAGATAGGGAGGAAACTTGCATTTACAGCGTTCAATCTACCAGCATCTGCCTAAAAACCAGTGCTGTCTAGGGACGGAACAAAAGACAGGGTGATCTCAGACTGTGGACCACAAATAAAGCATTGCGGGCACAGTAAGCAGCAATATCAGATCATCTGCCCTCAACCGGTATCCAGGAGAAATGTTCTGCTTATTTCTAGTTTTGTCGGACGGATATCAGAGCAAAGGAGAGATGTGAAACATGAGCATGATGTTCACAGGAACATTCATCCATGTGTGAAAAGAGGCATGAAAAGAAACTCAGCTTCCAAATGAGAGTGCTGTGGGAGACAGGGTCAAAGCCCTTACCAAGGTCAGAGCTGCTCTTTGTCATCTGTATAGCCATCATTTCATCGCAGAAGGCAATTGGGTTGGTCAAGCACTGTCTGGCTTTGCTAAATTTGTGTCGATAGTTCCTTCTTGTCCTTCATGTGTTTGGAAATGAATCCCAAGAAGAGGTAACTCCACTGTCTTTCCTAGGGCTGAGGTGAGGCCGAGTGATTGACAGTTCCCCAGGTCCTTTTTCTTGCCTTTCTTAAAAATGGGTGTAATGTTAACCTTCTAGTCGCTGTGGGTCTCCCATTAGCCATGAATTTTTGTAGGTGGTAGGCGTTGACCTCACCAATGTGCCAGGCAGCTCCTTCGGGTGAGTCCCGCCCACCCAGATGCATCTGGCGTCTCTTGAGTGTCCCCTTACCCATTGCTCCCCACTGGTGGCTGTTCTCCTTCCCAGGTGGAGTGGGTACATGCAGAGGTCTGGGTAAATCTCTAGGTGGACTCCTCGGTTCCTCAGGGAACCCCCGTATTCCCTGAGCTTCCTTTGGCTGCCGCTCTTAGCTTACAGACCCAGCACATGCCCCTGCAGAGCTGCACATTGAGAGCAGGCATGTGTTTGTGTGCTTCCAGAATGGAAGAGGAGATGAAACAGTCAAGAAGTAATCCTAACGATGAAGGAAAAGGCAAAGGGAGAATAGGAAATTATCAACTCTGCTAGATTAGAAGTCATAGGAAGAGAAAAGGGCAGGACTGCAGGACCTCACCTGGCGAGGTGAGGTCGTGATCAATACAGGGAACTTGGCAACAACGGGAGCTCTGCGTGGTGGAGGCTGAAGGAGCTGAAGGGCCGCTCAGTCTGTGGGAGAGTTGAGCCAGGAAGGAAGTTGAAGCAAGAGTCTGGAAATGTACCATGGTGGGGAAGGAGCGGTGAGGCAGCAGAGGATATTTTTATGATGAAAAGAAATGATGGGAGGAAAGAGGTGGCAGTGTGAAGAAGTGGGAATCATCAGATGCAAGGAGGGAGTAGAGCAGGAGTTGATGAATTGCATTATAGGTCCCATTAAAAAACAAACAAACAAACAACCAACATAATAATGTCCTGCCCTAAAGTTTCATTGTGGTCCGTGCAAAACTGCTGGCTTACAGTAGCTGGCACTGAGCACGTACTGAACATCCAGCTCCCAGTGTAACTGTGCGCACAAACGTAGCAGTCGTGAGTGCTAATAAAGCTTTGCACCTAAGTGTACCCCGGGTTCACCAGCATGTTACAATGAGACTGCTGTAAGGAGATGCTACATCTCTTGTTGTCATCCAGGAAGCGGAAGGCAAGCTTGTAAATAGATTTACATTTACTTAACTCTATTCTACATGCTAGTGGCAGGTGTATGAAGAGTTTTAAATCTGTGCACTGATTTCACCTGAAGCTTGACAGAAGGTAAAAGGTGTGAGCAGCACAGAAATAAGCGTTACGCTGTGTGCTTGGTGCCGTTGCCTCTCTCGCCTGTTACACATCTGTTAACAGGAAACACATTTTCAAATGCCTCAAAACCAAAAGGTGCCCTGAAAGAGATTAAACCAGCTGTAGCTGCCAGCCGCTTAAATGGAGGCGCTCCAGATTTGTTTTGCGATTGGTTATGTCCGCTGGTGTAATGAACTGATGCGCATTGTGTGTGCCACAGAAGACAGAAATCAAACCGAGTCAGTCGTTATTACTAAATGTTTTCTTTGTGTCTGATAGGTGACAAATTAAATCGCCACAATGCCACCACTGGCAAATACGCCCAGGCCTGCGTTCAGGTAGCTAGGGACTGTGGAACGGATGTGCTCGACCTCTGGACACTGATGCAGAAGAATCAGGTATGTCATGAGAAAGACTTTGAAACTGTCATGAATTGTGAAATGCATAATTTAGTGTAGAGGAACACGTAGTGCTGCATTATCACTGAAATGACACAAAATATATCCAAATCACATTTTAGGGAAGGAAAAAAGTAGTCCAGAATGCTTTGTGCTGGGCTGAGAGAGACAAAGCTTAATACAACCTGGCCATTACATTTGGTTAGCGGATGTCCCCTGGGTGCATTACACGTAAATAACCTTTTCCTTGGACTTTGAATCATGGAATAGTTTAGGTTGGAAGGAGTCCCTGGAGGCAGCTGGTCCAACCTCCTGCACAGTGCTGGGCTAACTTCAGAGTTAGACCAGGTTGCACGGGTACCTTCCTGATGCTCCTGGCCAAATACCCAAGCTCGTCCATGGACAGGGATTGCAGACTTTCCGTAAGGAGGCGGCTCCCATTCGGACACTGAATCTTTTCTCTCTCCTGCGCTGCCTGGTGCAGCAGGCTGTTCAGTGGCGCAGTAGACTCAGTGTTTTGATTGCATCACATAATCTCGTGACCTTTTCCTGATGAATAGCAGTGCCTTTGGCCATCAGAACATTTTCTTAATATTTTAATACAAACAGTGAAAAATAAAACCACTACATATACCAGCTGGCTGGCTTACTTTAAAATTGCTCAAGACATGCTATTTGCAACTAGCAAATACGTTAATAGATGGTTTTAACCTCCCCTGTAGGATTTCTCTTCCTATTTGTCCGATGGGCTCCACTTGTCAACAAAAGGCAGCAGCTTTCTAGCAGCACAACTTTGGTCATGCCTGGAAAAAAAGCTGTCTGCCCTTCCTTCACTGCTTCCTTATTGGCGTGACGTGGACCATACGAACCCCGAGGCCAGTCTTCTGTGAGATCCGCTGCGGCAGCGAGCCAGAGCATCCAGGCCTGACAAAGCCAGTCCTGTTTACAAACAGCCGGTGCCCAGCAGCACGCTGCAACCACCGCGCACTGGGGGAAGGGGGAGCGAGGAGTCCCCTGTCGATGCTCTTCCCTGTCCCCTTCCCTTGGTCCGTGGGACAATAAAGATGAGACCGCTCGGGGTGTGTCATGGGGTGGTTTGTCTGCGTGCTGCTTGTGCCGGTCGTTTGAACATCTGTGGGATGAGTTTCTCTTGGAAGACTCGGAGGAAAACAGGAGTCTCAGCTGCCCTGGGACCAAGGGAGAGAGGCTGCACTGAGGAGTTCCTGGCCTGGTTGAGCTTTGGGCGCTACACCTTGATTAATACTATCTACTAGTTTTAAACACCTAGGAGCCGGTAAGAGACAGCAGCGTGGAGTTTGGCAAGAGACATTAATGTCGGTCCAGATGAATTTATTTGGTTGTAACACAGCGGTAAAAGCAGTTACTTGAGCTTTAGTGAGGTTTTTGATAGTGATACGTTGTAGTTCAGAGCAAGGGTTTTAAAGTTTAATTTACTTTGGCACCAGCAGCAGTATCTTGCATGTAGACACAGATTTCAAAACTGCATGGTTTTGGGCAGCATAAAACTGGTGATGTACATGCTCATTTTGAGAAGCTTGGATCTTAAGGAAACTACGAGGAAGAGTCTGCATCTCTGCTGACAACGCTGCGTCGTATGTAATTTGTCACCAAGTTAAGGAGACGTTTCAGGTGAGCTTTGGCCTTCATAATTTAACAACTGATGTAACAGATGAGTACTGCATACTACGTATAGTTTTTGGCCAAGAGAACAGGATTAAACTACAAAACTACCTTTACAAACTGAAAAAAAACCTGCCTGAAACCTAGATGAAATTCAACAAGCATGGAAAAAAAAGTGGGTTGGAAAATAATTGGCTAGCCAGCCAGCTAGCAGAAGAAATTAGAATGCTACTGCACCATGGATTAAAGAGAAATAAATAGTATGTCACTGCAGCTAGCAACCCCCACGTAATTCTGGGCTGTATTCAGAGTTACATTGGCCCAAACCAGATGAGGCCGACAGCGCGGCCTCAGGTGATGGGTTTGTTGTGTGTTGGGGAGACAGAGGCTGATGGGGGAGCAGCGATGCCCGGCTGCGTCAGCGCCGTGGGGCTGCCTTTGCCGCGCTAAATGAGACAGGTTGGCCCAGACCTGTCCTCTGCTATGTAATAGTGTTATGGCCTGGAGCATAAGGTGGTATCTTCTCATGTGCCTGGAGCTAGAGCAGAAGCTAGTTTGATTTATAAATAGTTATGAATAGTAAACCGGACTGGCCTTTCTGTAATAAATGCTTAAAGACTGGCTGAACAGCGGCAGGGGCTCTGTCCTGGTTTCGGCTGGGATAGAGTTAATTTTCT